AAGTAACACTCAATGCAATAAGAAAGTTTTTAAGTTAAAAAAAATTACGCCAAACTGTTCGTCTCAGCAAAATTTTACCATCTTGTGCGCATATGTTCGCACATATGTAAAACTTATTTTTGCATGTTCTTATTATGCAAAAGAACAATGACGAAACTCGTCTCTACTACGAATTGACATTATCAATACCAAGCACAGCGCCGCATGATCGTCTGTTACCCATCACGTTTATGATTTCTGCCGACCATTCACAAACAACCTTAGATATGTGGATGATGAAATTCAGATATGGTTTTAAACAAGTGTTTGGGCGAAAAGATTTTCCAAATCCACGAATTATAATTAGCGATCGCTCGTACGTTCTGATACGTGCCAGTTTACATCAGTTTAATAATGAAACATATCCAGAATATTTAAACCGTACATTTAAAATGGTGAATGGAGCTTACAGGGGTACGGATCACTCAAAAACAATTATTCATAGCTGTCTGTCACATCTGATGTGTCATTTTCGAAAAAAGATTGTCAACAAAATGGTGGTCAAAGAATTAAGAGAACTGGTTATGTAAGTTAATCGTCATTACTGCAACGTTAGCCTATTATGTTCTGTTTCACTCGTTTAATTTACACATCAACTGACTAAATTATATGCGTGTTTTAGGTGGACGTTATCGTTGTTAGACAACACCAGTGAATGGAAAACTATGTTAGAAATCTGGGCGATCATGTGTGATGTTTTTATGAATTATTTTTCAAAACCGTTTCCACAAAAATCGAATGAATTATTAAACTTCAAAATTTCTCAATTAAGAAAAAAAATTCTTACTAAAACAATTTCCGAACAAGGCATCGATCAATATCGATCGCAAACAAATGAAAATGATCATCAAGAAAAACAAAATACACCGGTATGTTTAATAAAAAGCAAAACTTGCTTTCGTTTATTTCGAAACTTACCTATTATGCTGTTTTAGTATAAGTACAGTTTGATATCAATATCGCGCAATCACTACTTTCTTTACTCATGTAATAAATGAGAGTGTCATCTGTGCATAAGTTTTGTTTACGACAAACATATTGGTTACATCTGTATTTTCGAGTTCTTTTCAAAAGCTCTCTGACTTTGATTTGCTTTATTTGATTTATCAAATAAAGACAAGTTTTCACGTCGTTATGTTTTGTTCGTTTAGAATAAACAACAAATGGATCCCTATGATTTTGATACCAATGAAGATCGTCAACCTGGTTCTGATGCTAATACAAATGCAGACGAAGATGAAGATCTGCAAAATCATTGTGCAGTTTTCGATGAAGAAGTTCAATTAGATACGATGAGTTCTGGATTTAAAAGAAGCTTTACTGAGATATATCAAAATATTGAAAATCAAAAACAATCACCACCAACAACAGATGAAGAGCGGAAGAAGGCGGAAGCAAATATTAAGTTTTTGAAATACATTTTAAAATGGTGCATGCCATCTGTAGTAGTTTGGTCAAATTTGCTATTAGACCCAAACACCAGCTGTCAACGAATAAATGGACAATCGGAACGAGCAATGGGATTAACAAAAATAGTACATCTGGGTGGCGTTGTGCGTGGGAGGTTGGACTGTGTGCTTGATACATTAATTACAAAACAAATGGAAACAATCTCAGCTTTTGCCGAGCATTATTTTATGTCGAATTCAAGCAAAACAACAAAATCAAAATTAGTTTCTGAACAGTGGCAACCTCGTTGTCATACTCGAGGGTATTATCAACAAACGCCAACGGATGATATTATGCAACGATTAAATAAAACAAATGTCATTGAAATCACCGTTAACAAAGATTTTAAATGGCCAACTTGGGAGCAATATCCATCACAGTGAGTATTTCTGTGTTTTCTCGTGCTTTTTGACTACTAGTTCACGGTCGTTTCAGTTCACTTCCAGAACTTTAAGACACGAGTTGGTTAATTCAAAACGTCACTACTTGCAGCCATTGCAGTAGACATTTCTTCTAGCGACCCCATCACTTATCACTTAAGGGTACCCATCCCCCTCTTTTTTGTAAAAATTTCGGATTTTGAGCTGAGCATAGCCTAATGTAGAGGAAAGTGTGGGCTACAAAATAAGACCACTCCCAGTACTCCACGATCTTTTTTCAAAAAGTTATGGATTTTTGAAGTTTTTCCTTCAAAACCTAAAAAACCTCAATTTTTTAGTTTCATAAACTTTTCTCTGATTTTCTGTACATTCAAAATTTTTCTTACACATAGTCTGATAGAAGAAAGTGTTTTCTTTACAATGAGACGTTTTACAGAATTTTCCGATGAGTTTTCGTTGAGTTTGCATCGCGACAAATGCTCTGAAAAAAGCGACCTATGTACAGAATACGTTTTTTCTCTAAAACTATTTTTTTGCTACCAGGCTTCATTGTGCCACATTACGACCCCCCTTAAATTTCGTCCGATCGAGTTCAAAATTTTATCAGAGGTACTCTAGACACTATTGCAGAGGTAATTTTTGGAATTTTATTTTAGACTTTTCTTTACCGACTTACAGGGTTTCTGAAATTGAAAAACTTGATTTTTGAGACGCTTTTCAGTAGTTTTGCTATAACTCCACTAGGAAAGGTCTCAAAAATTTCCCAAAAATTACCTCTGCGGAATGACCTTGAGTACCTCTGGTAAAATTTTGAACTCGGTTGGATGAAATTTAAGGGGGGGGGGGGGGTGGGTATGGGGGCACATTG